AGTTTTAAGAGACTTACGAAAGAACTGACCAATCGTTTCCGTGCAATTGAAACCAGTCGAACCTACCTGTCAAAATTTAATAACAGAGTTCAGAAGCCTGGTGAGCGAGTCGAGGACTTTGCTGCTGATTTGAAGCGCCTGTATGTCAAAGCCCACCCAGAGCGAGACTCAAAGACTAGAGAGGAAGACTTGTTGAGGAAATTATTAGATGGTCTGGCTGATAGAGAAGCCCATTTTCATGTAGAATACGTAAAGGACCCATCCGATATACATGAAGCTGTACGACAGGTTATAAATTATGAAGAAGCAGGTCGGCCTTCAACTAAGAAACATGTCAGAGAGGTGAAGTCATTGTACAGTGATTCTGAATCAGAAGCCACGCCTAAGACAGTCACTAAGGCCAAGTCGCTGAAAAAGAAAAGCATCAGAAATATAAAGTACAGCCAAAGAAACAAACAAGGGTCGGGTAGCCCTATTGAAGCCTTGCAGAAACAAATCGATGAGATGGCAAAGGTTCTCGACAACCTGACTAAGCAGAGCAACACTGGGACACAGCCAAGTAGGCCTTTTATTGGTACATCTCAACCAGACATGTCTTCGGGTCAGATGGCTCCTCTGGACAGACAACAGAAACGTAGCTGTTTTTACTGCAAAGGTGAAGGTCATTTCATAAGGGACTGCCCAAAGAGAATTAATGACCTGCAAGTCGCAAAGGCACCTTTAAACAGGCATTAGCCGTTCCTGTGGGTCAAGGACCGGCTACAGAAGAAACTGACAGACAGACGAACAATTAAGACCCACCAACAGACAGACAACCAGATAATTGTGATGAGTCAGAAGATTTTTGTTTTATTTCTAATCGGATACCAGATGCGGATGGTGTGTACATAGAAGGAAAAGTAAATGGTTTAGACGTCCACAGTACAACAGATACTGGTGCATCCAATACTATACTTTCATACAAAGTGTACGAACAACTCAAAGAGGTGAACAGACCCAGACTTCAAGGAAAGTCGCACTTGCGAGGAGCTGACGGAAGTACCATTCATGTTTATGGGAAAGGACCATTTGAATTGCAACTTGGTTCCTTGGCCCTCAAGAAAAACCTTTTAGTAGCTGATATCCAAGATGAAGTGTTACTTGGAGTGGACATCCTGCAGAATAGTGATATTCGTCAAGCAGATATTCTCCTAAGTAAAGGACTGATAAGGTTCAAAGGTCATAATATCCCATGCATACAACGTGGTGTGCATAAAGATATTACCCTCCGTTGTGTGGAGAGATGTGATACACCTGGGAATACAGAAGTAATAATACCGGCTTTTATACAGTGTGAATGTGAGGTTAATGTTGAAGAGGACCAGTCTTATGATCGTGCCAAGTGGAGATCTTATGGAGAAGACCTCCTTACTGCTAGCCCCTGCAGTTCTTAACATCAGAGGGAAACTGAGTGTACCCCTGAGAGTTATGAACCCTTTTGATGAAGGAAAAACGCTTTATCCAGACACAGTAGTGGGTACTGTTGAAGGATATGGGGGAATAGTAGATGTAATTCGACCGGTTTTTAGTGACCTAAGAAGCCTTTGCCGATCTACTGAACTTTCGCCTGGTGAGGCATGTGAGATTCCAGATCATTTGCGTGAGCTTTATGACGGCTCTTCCCAGTCCTTAAATATGACAGAAAAGGAAGCTTTTCGGAAATTCTTGCACGACCATCAGGATGTCTTTTCAAAAGATGAATGGGACCTAGGACAAACCAATTTAGTAGAACATGAGATTAATACTGGTGAGAGCAAACCTGTAAAACAGCCACCTCGTAGAGTTCCAATAGCGCTAGCCAATGAGGAGAGAGATGCCATTCTGAACCTTAGAGAGAGGGGCATAATACAACCTTCTACATCACCTTGGTCCTCTCCACTGGTCTTGGCTAGAAAGAAGAATGGAAAAATAAGAGTCTGTGTAGATTATCGAGCTGTAAATAATTTATCAGTTAAGGAGGTATTCCCACTCCCACGAATTCAAGACTGTCTAGATTCCGTTGCAGGAGCTTCAATGTTTTCCACTCTGGATTCGACAGCTGGGTATCACCAAGTCAGAGTTAAGGCTGATGATATACCAAAAACAGCATTTGTTACAAAATATGGTCATTTCGAGTATAAAACCATGCCTTTTGGATTGACCAATGCACCAGGTACATTCCAGAGACTTACGGAGATGGCATTAAATGGCCTACAGTGGGATATTTGTCTTATTTATTTGGACGATATAGTGATATTTAGCAGAAAGTTTGATGAACATATGTCCAGACTTAGCCAGGTGGTTCAGAGAATAACAGATGCAGGTTTAAAATTGAAACCTGAGAAATGTAGCCTTTTTCAAGATGAAGTTATTTTCCTTGGACATAAAGTCACTAAAGATGGAGTCTTACCAGATAAGCAGAATGTAGAGAAAATTTTGAATTGGACCAGACCAAATAATGTAACTGAAGTACGACAATTCCTTGGAACTGCCTCTTACTACAGGAGATTTATAAAAGGGTTTTCAATGATAGCTAAACCTCTTACCGAACTTACACAAAAGAACCATTTTTTTCACTGGACAGAGTCATGCGAGCAAGCATTTCTGCAATTAAAGAAAATCTTTACTGGACCCGATGTAATGGGATATCCTGACCTAAACCAAGGCCATTTTATACTCGACACAGACGCATGTGATGTAGGCATTGGTGCCGTATTGAGCCAAGTACAGGATGGACGTGAGAAAGTGTTAGTCTATGGTAGTCGAACCCTAAACCGTGCTGAAAGGAACTATTGTGTAACTGATAAAGAGCTCCTAGCTGTTCGTTATTTTGTGGAGTACTACAAACAATATCTTTTAGGACAAAGATTTATCCTTAGGACTGATCACCAAGCATTAGTCTGGCTATATAAACTGATAGAACCTAAAGGAAGAGTGGCTCGCTGGATTGAAATATTTTCAGCCTACAATTTTGAAATTGAGTATAGGCCTGGGACTCAGCATGGTAATGCTGACGGTCTATCAAGATGTCCTAACCCAGCCAGAAGGTGACAGTTTAGAAAGCCTGAAATGTGGACCTTGTATTAAGTGCAGAAAGAGAGCTGAGACTATGGAAACTCAGGAAAACCTTAATCAGGGGGGTGCTATTCGTGTCATGACAAGAAAGCATGACAGTTCTAAAAATTTACCTGAAGGGACACAATGGATGTCAAAGTACAACTCATCAAGTTTACAATGTCTCCAGATTGAAGATAATGGTATTGTTCCAGTGCTTAAGTGGAAACTGGCAGGAAGTAAACCTACAAAAGAGGAAGTGGTCAAATATTCTCCAGCAACCAGACATTATGTTTGTTTATGGGATCAACTATGTTTCAAAGATGGCGTTTTATATAAGGAATGTACAATCACAATGGGTCTTACAATGACACAGTTCATTGTTCCAGAGAAACTTAATTTAGAGATTTTACAACTCTGCCATTGTTCTTTGTTGGCCGGACATTTGGGCATTAAGAAGACCAAACACAGGATAACACAACAGTTCTACTGGTACGAAATGAAAGACTCAGTTAAAACATTCATTCAGTCTTGTGAGTCCTGTGCAGCTAACAAAACACCAAACAAGAATCCTAAAGCCAAGTTGGGAAGCTGTCCTGTGGGCGCACCTTGGGAGCGACTGGGTGTTGATTTCCTTGGTCCGCTGCCAGTAACAAAACAAGGAAACCGCTACATTATGGTATGCATAGATTATTTCTCCAAGTGGGTCGAAGCTTTTCCAGTACCTGACCAGACTGCTCGTACTACTGCAAAAGTTCTACTAGAGATAGTTTCCCGTTTTGGTTGCCCATTATCTTTACATTCGGACCAAGGCACAAATTTTGAATCTAATATAATAGCTGAAATGTGTAGCTTCCTTCAAATAAAGAAAACTAGAACAACGCCTAGAAATCCTAAAGGCAATGGCCTGGTTGAAAGATTCAACCGAACCCTTATCCAGATGATTCGTGCCTTTATTATCATGGATGATGAATGGGATATTTACCTAAGTTGTGTTACTGCTGCTTATCGTTCTACCCCTCAGGAGTCTACGGGGTTGACGCCGAACATGCTGATTTTTGGACAGGAGGTCCGCCTTCCCTCTGAGGTCGTTTACAGGCCTGAAACATCAACAAAAGAATTAAACTCATCCTATGGTAACTATGTTGAGGAAATAAGAAGTCAACTGAATAAAGCACACGAAATATGTCGCAAATATTAACGCCAGAAAAACTTATATGACTCTAAGACATGTGTGAACAGTTATTCAGTTGGTGACATAGTATGGAAACTAAACGAGAACATATATGTTGGAGAATGTGCCAAACTACAACCTGTCTACATAGGACCTTGTGTTGTGGTCAAAGTCCACAGTGACCTTGTCTTTGAGATACAACTTGATGCCCGTGGTCAGCGAAAAGTTGTAAATCACAATAAATTACTGCCGTATCGTGGAAGTCAGCCACCGAAGTGGGTCCAGAACATTGTACAAAAAGTAAAGAAAATTTAGTTAGGTGCCAGTTGGACTAGCGCAGTATTGTGATTTTCTGATGTATACGTGTTATGATGTTTTTGATTCCTGAATAAAAAGAGTTTACCTGATTAAAGGATCATATGAATTACTTGTATTGTGAACAAGTCTCAACCTATGCATAGGAGGGGGGATCCTGATTTATTAGGCAGAGATGATATTTGAAAAATTACTTTAGGATGTACAAATATTTGTTATTGGTTGTGATTTACCAACAATGTTGTTGGTTTAAATAATACATAATTACCAGTAATATGATATTGGTTCTTACATTTTAGATGTCTTCCTTGTTAAGAACATCGTCTGCCGGGTAGAGGGGGCATGTTTATGAGTGTAAGCCATGTGGGTTCCGTGGTGAGAAGTTGGCCGTGACGAACCATATCTATATTAAACATCTTACATATGAGGACTACCCTTATCATTGTACGCTTTGTGACTCTGCGGCAGTCCAGAAGGCGAAGTTTCTGAAGCACACCAAGTGGTACCTTGAACATAAGCTGAGGGCAGGAGAGACGGCCGACGCTGAGGGGTCGGGCTTCATGACAGTGAGAGACAATTCCAAGGTCCTGCAGGAGATGCTGCGATCCTTGACGGTAGCAGAGTCGATCGTACATTGGGAATCGAAGAAGAGGCCAGCCAAGAGTCTTCCTACTTCCACGTCATCCGTGCCATCCTCGTCGCTCTCATCCTCTGGCTCCCTGTCCTCCTTTCCACAACTGTCGATGCCATCTTTGTTGCTGCCGTCCTCTAGCTCCAAGACCTCCTTTCCACCACTGTCGATGCCATCTTCGTTGCTGCCATCCTTTCCATCATAGTCGCTGCCGTCCCTCAGCTCCATGACATCCTTGCCACCACTGTCGCTGCCGTCCTCCAGCTCCTCCTTGCCACCTCCTCCATCCCCTGTCGCAGCTACTTTGCAGACCGCTCCAGAATCTTCCCTGCCAGAGCAGCTGACCGAGGAGGATCAGCAGCTCATTAAAGAGTTTTTTTAATACAGGAGCCCGTGGAGCCTGAGTCTTCCCTGCGGGAGGAGAATGCCCGCCTCCAGAAGGAGATAGACCGGCAGAGGCGTGTCATCCAGAAGAATCAGGTCACCATATCAGACCTTGAGAAGAGGCTAGACTCCAGAGTTGGTCCTCAGTCGGAGGTGAAGCTCATCCATGATGGCCCCGGCGAGGGTGAGCGTTATAACCCAGTTCCCCGCAGAAGGTCTCCGAGGAAACAACCTAAGAGGTTGCAGTCTGTGGTTACCATTCCAAGGAGGATCCTTCCAAAGCCAGCACATAGAGCTACAGAGCACCAGTCCCCATTAGATGACCTTTTCCGGCCAGATCGTTTCAGATTCAGTAGACCTTAAAAGAGACATTAGATTTATATCATTGTTTATTAGAGCAGTAAGTATAAGTAAGTCAAAGTAATGTAAGTTAGGAAAATATTCATTTCAATATTTGTAATTAATTGGGAGCTAAAGTTAGAACTGGGAAGGTTTGTGGATTTTATATGTAATTTTTCTAAAATTGATATTTTAAGCATTGTAATGAGATTCATTTCTGTAATATTATTTACCTTTGATATTTTTGCTTTCCATCCTCTTCTTCGACTTTTTCTGTAATCCTGTGATTGAAAATAAGAAAGATTATGCATTACTTGTTTTTTGCAAGTTATACTTATAGAAGTTATATGTCTAAACTATTAGCATTAGCGTGATGTGTACACTGTATTTATAAGTGCAAGTATAGATGATAAATTTATCAGAGGCTGCTTATATTTTGTACATCCACTGTTTTTGTAAGATAAACTCATTCTAGAAATGGCAGTTATTAAATATTAATTGAATCATTATAATTCATGTACATTTTAACTTACTTACCTTATCACACTGTGCTCTGCTCATTTGTCTTCATGAAATTATGTTGAACTTCATGTTTTAATTCAGAATTTTGTGTTATGTATAAAGTTTCTATTATATTGATAAGTGATATGCAGGAAGGTTGGAGTAGTAGTGTTATAGTTTGTAAAATTCTATGATTTATTCATTCCTAGTGATGTGAATTTTTTAGAGGAGTTGATGCATATTTTTTATGTAATCTTTGTGAAGTACAGCATTTGTTTTTGAGTAGTCTCCCTTGTGTGTATTGACTAGCTGTACTGTTCTTGGAAATATATATGTATCGGGTGTAGAGTATAAAGTAGAAGTACGGAAATATGTCATTGAATTGTCTTAATTAATTGTTGTATTTGAATTTTATTGCTTGTATTTTGAGTCCAAAGGGACTTGGACTCTTAGAGAGGGGCAAAATGTAACGATCCCTCCCCCTATTTTTCTTGTATCTCATTTTTTTTTATCTTGGTATTTTTCTTAAGCTTTTTCATGCAAACTTTCAACTCATCCATCAGTTCTTGTATAGAATGTTGAAATATTCCACGATATTTATTTCTAAATTGTTGGTTGACAACTGCTTGAATGTAGCGAAGATCTATGTCATTTTTCTTGTGTTTCGATGTGTTGAATGTCAGACATCGTCTTACTATTTAATTACACGCTTTTTGTTGGCTTAATTGTACATATGTAATTATGAAGTTGTGCTGTAATTTAGAATTGTCTTATAGTTACCTTATTTCTTGTGTGATCGATGTTTTATGGTCTTCGAGTACACGTTTCACTGAAACTTCTGCCGCCGCCATACTTTGTTTACTTGTGTATTTTCCCGTGATGCTTCACGGTGATCTGTTTTTACCGGAGTTATTTCGGCGGAAGATTTGATTGTAAATTCTTTTAAATTAAATGTTAAACAGTGTTAAATGAGCTTTTAAAAGTGTAACTTTATGTTTTATGAATTTATTTAATTTATTTATGTATTGTAATAATTTCACATACGATGTACGAGAGTGAGATTTCATTACGGGACGATAATTATATTTGATTGGTTGATTATTATTTACGGGATAGAATTAATAGTTATGATTGGTTGTGAATTATTGCGGGTTTTGTTAATTCTATAAATACTCGGATGCTGAATATCGTTTGCTCTCTCGCTTTCTTTGCGTCCTAGTGAAAGGTCTGCAGTTTTATACTATCCAGTTTCAGGTGTGTACTAGTTCAGTATCTGTGTGACTGAAGTACATAATAAGTAATGTTAGGTTAGGCTAAATTTATATTACTAGTAATTGTACTAGTTTTATTTATAATTACTAGTTGTGAACTAGTTATTTTATCTTCTTTAGCCCAGTTTAGGAGTTAGGGAATATTTCTGCTGCGTGCTAATAGTTGAACTAGTAGCGGGAATATTTATTTGTAAATTAATTATAAGTCATTTATAGAGAGCCTTTACGTTTTATTTTGGTCAGGGGAATTTACTTAAATTATAAATTACTGGAAATAGTGCCAGTTGCCTAGTTGTTGTACTGATTTTGGTCTTAGATCTATGTCCCGAGGGTTGAGACTTGTGTGAATTTCAAACATTGTTATTTATTTTCGCTGTTCATGTATTACTGAATAAAATTATAAAACTTTACATCGAAGTTTTTGTTCTCAACGCAAGGCAGGCGTTCCGAAGCGTTACAATATACACAGAACAGAATAAAAAGATGGAATAGAACAATATTTTAAGTAGAGGTACATGTAATGTGAGCGCTAGCACTAAGCACTAAGCCTACTAAGTGATACCCCTGTCTACCATATGATTATATTGGCAAAGTCCATGCTTCGCTCTTGAGAACACTCAATTAGCGTCAGATCATAAAGTAAAATTGGAGGTGCACACTGACATTATATATAATGAAAAAAATCTGTGAAAGTATTATTACATAGTATTCATTAATATGTAGAAAATGCACAATGGGACTATGTAACAAAGATTCTGCATGTGAAAGTCTCATAAAATTTCATTTAGCGATATAAGAGGAATTGCTGATAAGAGATGGGTACCCCAAAGCGTAACATACATGTACTATATCGGACATCTCGATCACTATATAACCTCCCACCTCCCGCTTTTCGAGCGGGGGGTATAATATTAGTAATATGTAATATTGCTAAATTTTTGTCAGTACAATTCATCATCATGAAAATGTTCACCTACATTGTAGCCCCTTGGGCTCGATAGATCTTTTATACTTCTTTAGATTCTGAATCATTGCATTGACCTTAAAATTACAATAGTGTATAATGTAATGAGATCAACATATCATCAACACGAGTATATCGGTATTCCTTATTTAGCTCAGGTGAGCATTTTTGCCAATAGGTCTCTTTATTTTTTTTTATTTATTTGTCCCCCTAAACATTTCAACTTCAATCCACAAGGGCGTCATTATTCTACGGGGGTCATTTTTCTACACATGGGAAATGCAAAATTTTATGGTGAAGACACTTTTTCTACGGCTAAGGGATATTTTTTCGACGACGAATAGTTTTTCGCCGTAGAATAATGGCCGGGAGTCATTTTTCTCCGTGGAAAAATGACTCCCAGTCAATATTCTATGGGGGTCATTATTCGTCTTTACACCGATTCTGACGTGTTTCTGGCAGGTAAATATCAAAATTGTTAAAAAAAAGCATGAAGAACGTCAGATTTTTCGGACTATTGTCTAGGTAGCTCACACAGTAGAGCGCTCACGAAGGAGATTGGAAGATTGTGACTTATAATCTCTACCGCAACTGACGTAAGTCGATAAAAAATCTAATAATTGTTCTTTCGCCCGACACTTTGAAGTGAAAGTTGCGGGTCTTTCGAAGGAGACCTTACTAATCGAGGCTTTGTGTCAGAATAGGCTAAAGAGGTTAAAGATACCTTCTCAATAGCTCTGAGTGCTGAATAATGGTCCAAATTTGAAACTTTTTACCGATATATGGTGGTATCTATATATGACTGAAAATTCTCGAATGGGGCGTAAGAGAACAATCAATCAATAAATCAAAATTCCAGTTTCAAGAAGATTCTGAAACCCATCAAAGGCTTTTCCCTGAGCCCACTGAAAGCCTCATGGTGGCTTCACATACCCGATCTCCCTATCATTTTGACGACACTTTTGCTGGCTTTTCTTTGAGAATGTTATATTCCATAATGTGAATTACTTTTTATTAGGGATGGCAATTCGTAATTGATTAATCAGTCGGAACGATGCTAATCGGTTTGAAAATCCCTAATCGGTTAGTTGTAAAAAATGAAATATACGTAAATTTGAACTCAGATTTCTTATAAATCATTTTTAAAGAAATAAACCGCTGCTTAAAATTTCATTTAAGGTTTGTTACAACGCACTTTGAAAAATTACGCTCTTTGAAAAAATTTTTCAAAGTGCGTTAAAATTTGGGACCAAGCTAACGCACTTTGAAAAAAATATTTTTTTTTCAAAGTGCGTTAATATCGACCATATTAACGCACTTTGAAAAAATGTAAAGATTGATCAAAATTCCTTCAAATAATCGGTATGATAAATAACAGATCCTGGTTTAATAACTTTTTTATGATTAAGTCACTGTAGGACCTGAGATATTGACGTTTTAAATATTTAAGGTTTTGAAAAAATAAAAGGGAAAATTAAAGAGTATTGAAAAAAAAAAGAGTGACGATCGTTTAAGTTCATTAATTCGTTTCTTCTTCTTTTTTTAATTCTAGTCTTTGATAAGTAGATGTTAAAGGTGTATAGAGGGCACTAACAGAGGACAGCTTCAAGCAACTTAGCATTTATCATAATAAAAAGGGGCCAATTTGATTGTTCAAAACTATGAAATTCTTTCTCTCTGATACGTTTTACTGTACTTAAAAAATTATAGTTTTCATCTGTTTTAATTAACTCATTTATTATTGAAAGTTTTCACCGTCATACCAGTTAGGTAAATACATAATTATATGAATGCTTTGAGTATAGCATAGACATCGAGACTGGGCAAAGGGCCAGGGGAGGGGGATGGGGGGCTAAGCCCCCCACTTATTTTGGAAACATATATACATCGTATAAACATTGAAAATGCAGCGTACCCTTTCTAGGTTTATCGTCCCCTCCCCCTTTTGTTACCGACACCTATGTATTGGAAAGATAAAGATTTGGTCTGAGGGATCTTATACTCTTCTTCTCCTCTTTTCGACGGGAGTAAATCAAATCATTTTTGAGGTTAGGGTTAGGCTTAGTTTTTTGAAAGATAAATAACAAATAAAATCTCTCCATGACTAAAATATGATTTTTTTTTCAAAGTGCGTTAAGTGTCTCCATGGTAAAATATATTGATGTAGACTCTTAACGCACTTTGAAAATTTTTTTCAAAGTGCGTTGAGTTGGTCCCAAATTTAACGCACTTTGAAAAAATTTTTCAAAGTGCGTTGATTTTGTCCCAAAAATTACGCACTTTGAAAATATTTTTCAAAGTGCGTAATTTTTTCAAAGTGCGTTGCCACAAAGGTTTTTACACATCTTGTACATAATATAACTTGTATGTAATTATATCACTCTCTTGCTTGAGAGCGGGGTAGTTAGTCATTTTGTAATAAAGTGTTACTTACTTTTTTTAAAAAAAAAATCACCGTTCACGGTAGGTAGTGGTAGAGCCTTCGCTTCGTGATCGATTTTCATTTGCGGCGCCGCGTCACAACTAAGACGTAAAATTAAGTAGT